ACTTTAAATTTTGTTGCGTTCACATTCGCTTATGATGTACATTTTTGCCGTCCTAATTAATTTTCTCATTCAATGTCATGCACCTTTGTTACTTTTTGACTGAACATAAAAACTTGACTAGTGAACTAAGGAAATTATAATTTTCAGCTAATACCTAAAATCTCTGTAAATCAGTCCTTTGTTTCATTCCATCGTCAATTTAATTTCAAAGCTTGAGTAATAGGAATTTAGTTTTTTCTTTATGTATTGGAACACCAATTTAGTCACTTTCATACTCCCGACCATGCTAGAATTGCACTGCTCATCGTGGTGTCGTTTGCTGCGGGACCTAAATTGCATTTCCGCTGAAGAAATTTCTTGCGACGATGTGATGAAATTGGACTTGGACAAAGTCAAATTATATTAAAAATTTTCAAAAAATCTCGAAGACTGGGAGCTTCGACATAACGTAATTATGTAGTTCAACTTTACCTATAAAACTTAACTATATTGCTTCCAATGAATGCTGGTGCAAAGTTTTCTTCGACGTCGCAAGATGTATACGAAAATTTATAAATTTTGTATTACATCAATGTGATACTACCTCCGAATTTTGTCGTTAATTCGCAAAAAAATCTCTCATATCATGAGAGCAACATAAATTTGTGATCATTAGAGCAACATAAATTAGCATAGCATGAGAGCAACATAAATTTGCATGTCATTGTAGCAAAATAAATATTCATGTCATGAGAGCAACATACACCCGCTTTTCTGTACCCATGAGGGGGTCACAGCTCCTGTTTTTAAGCTTGACGCGAGAGACTTACAAAGCAGACGCACGGAACGAGTCGAGGCGTATCTCAGGCCAGTTTTTATGGTGGGTGACTCACCTGTGAGTCGCCCAATCGGAAGTACTGGCCATGTTTCATCGTCAACACTTGAGTAGTAATAACCCAACATTTTCACATTTGATCTCAAGTATTTTCATTTGTTGGCACATTATTGAAACAATGACAGATTTTAAAATTTATGATGTGACACTCAAAGTTCTTGCGGAATTTATACACAGGAGCTTCAGATATATCCAGATAAGACTTGAGGTGGGATATCTTAATAGGCAATGTAGAAAAAAGCGAAACAATAAATTATTCGGTCTTAGAAAGGATCATGAAACTTATTTTAGATGACACTGAAATGCATTATAATTCACGTGAAAAAACAAACATGCGTTGGGAACTCGGCTGTGAGCGACGTTCCTGGTCAAGGCCGCGCATCTCGTGAGTCAATGCATCACAGACCATCAGGGCCTCAGCCCTCTTTAGATCTGGGGTCTGCATAGAGACGGAATTTTAGATTTATTGCTTAATCCGTGCATAATTTCCTTATTAATCTTATTGTCCCTCATGTTAGGCTTACGAATCTCACCAAGGTCTCAGCTGTGACCAGGTGACAGCTAGCATGGCTGACCTTTCGCCTGCATTCACAAGACAACAACGAAACTCTCGTCGACGACGTTTCCGGGATGAGGCAACCTGGTCCGCAAAAGTGGAAATAATACGACGCCACCAGCTGATGCCACACGTTGTCACTGGCTGATGCCGCAATCAAATTGTCGTCAGATATTGATCAGACCTTGTAATATAAAACAAATTGGCACATCCGAAGCCCGATCTATTATTGCCCGTAACCCGCAAAAACTGTTGCGAAGTTCAAATTCAATCTCAGAGGCTTCACCTCAGCTTAGTAAATCAAATTGTCTTTAGATAATGATAAAAACAATGTAAAGACCCCAATGAACACTTCAAATCCCCGGCTTTTGTGAATGTTTTTTACCCATCAAAAATGTTGCGAGCAAGTTTTAATTTAGGTGTCGCAGCGTAAATTTCATTAGTTATTGTCCTAGAACTTTCTTCGCGCTTCAATAAAGGGGCAAAGTTTCCTATCTTTGCAAATACTGTTTAGCTGTATAAACCTACATTAGACTTTGAATACAATGTAGAAAATTGACTTTTAGACCCATTCAAGACTACAGGATGCTAAGCTAAACTTTATAGCACGAATGAATAGAAAAACATCTTAGAGATGTACCAGAGATCTTTCTGATTTTTATAATTAATTTTTAACTCTATGCTGAAACAAACTTTTCCGAACACAAAACAAGCAAAGATGCTTAGGCCAAGTAACAAGGCTTTCCCAGCGATTCCCATATACAGTTTTTTTACAATACAGATTATTTAAGCGTCTTGAGTATTTGAACATTTTACAGTACAGGATCATTATTTCAAATATACAAGGACTAAATAATTGTGAACAAAAATTTAGAAAAACTGTTAGGTATGACTTGATGATTTGACCGGAGGAACGTAGAAAGAAAAAAAAATACAATATGTGTTTGCTTCACTCCTCACGAACTGCAAATAGTAATGAAAGAATTACAGGTTCCAAGCATGTAGGTGAAATACAGCAATAATTTTCATGCTCTTTCCTTTTTTTATTGTTTTCACAATTCGAAAGAGCATCGAAGTAACATAAAGTAGATTAAATTAGTAAGTGGCATCTTTATTCCAACTATATTAATAATCATAAAGGTTATCGATCAATTTTAAATATACTCAAAGGCCCATTCGAGTCAGGCGGAAGTCAGCCAACACATGATAACAAACACAACATATTTCCCCACAGACCGAATTATTTGTTACTTTACAAGTAATTCTACGTTGAAATTGGTTGTGAAGCATGCTGTGTGATAAAAGGCTGGAATTCGATAAAATTCACAATAATCACTCGACGCTGAAACAACCTAATGGTGCCTTATGGTTACTACATAAAGTGAAACAAAGAGATACTCTTGGTATAGCTTTGGATACATTTTCATTGCCAATATTTACAATAGTAAATCAAATACATTGCATTAGTATCTATTCATGATTGTAATAGCTTTCATTTTATATTCGAAGGATAGATAATGTAAGGTAATTGCATACACCACTTAGTGTGGCAGTTGTCAGTCTTATGACTGAGAACAAAGATTAACTCCAAAGGTTCATATTGTGCAAACGTCTTGAACCGTCAGACTTGACAGATGTCACATCAATCAGCAGGGTCTTAACAAAAAAGAGCTTCAAAGTTTGCTTAAGTCTCATATGAGTGCAATTGAAGGTGATTTAGAAACTTCAAAAATATTTATTGCGTTTATGTAACTATAGATTGAAATTGAACAAATAAATGGAAGTCTGAAACTAAAAGACGTTTGTTAGCTTTGTACAGTTTAAAATAGAAAAACTAAAAATTAAACTTTTTAAAACGTATCTCTGCACGAATGACAAATTATAATTGAATAGTTCCTGAGGGTCTTTCAAGCATTTTTCTTGGTTTCACGACAAAACTCTATGGTAATTTCCACAATTAGATAATTATATTACTTTTAATTATTAAATTATATACAGCAGTGAGTTCATTGCAGCATAACAAAAATTAAGTGTTTCTGTATCCATTAGATTGAAATAAGATTTACCTTTCTATTTCTGATGCCTTAACATGATTCTTATCAAAAAGGCAGCTATAATCATAATAATGTTGTTGGAATGGACGTTATGGCCGATTTAGTAAACGATACTCGAATCCCGTGGGAGCTACCGGTACAGGAAGGTCAAAAAATTTTATCCTTAGAGATTTCTTCATAGTTATTATGAAAAATAGAACAAAAATCTAGAGCTACACAATTAACAGTTACTAAAGAGGTTTTGGAGCCATATTATTTTAGACTATTTATTAGAAAATTCTTATGGAGTTATTTAATGTCAATTGTTTTGAATCGTTTCTCATTTATCCTTCGGAACCATTTTTTATGAGTGAGAAAGAATTTCTTTAGGGTAAACTGAACTACAATATTCCTCTATTATGATCATTGATCCCGCGTGAAATTTGGGACACACTTGAACGTTTAAGCTATCACAACAGAGACTCATATATTTATAAACTCAAAATATATTTTATATTCGAAACTTACATTCTATCTGAAAGAAATACTAACATTGACGCCCGTTCTAAAGTTTCGTTTTTATTTGCTTCTAAGTACTGCACATGCACTAGTCACTCGGACTTCAATGACAGTCCAGTGCCCTCTTAAAAGCCAATGCATAGCGGTTCAGGCGTGGCCCCACTTATAGCCTATGCATAGAGGTTCAGACGTGGCCCCACTTATAGCCTATACATAGAGGTTCAGGCGTGGCCCCACTTATAGCCTATGCATAGAGGTTCAGGCGTGGCCCCACTTATAGCCTATGCATACAGGTTCAGGCATGGCAGCCGAACCAACTGTTAGTAAAGTTCACCACATATTATTGAGTTATTGGTATCGTGCAATGGACTTGGGGCACTGAATTCTTTATCGGTTAGTAGTGCGTGTCGGCCAGTTAGGTCAACCGTTTATTTTGTTGGGTATGGAATCGTCACCGCGTCACCAAATATAAGCTGCCGGACTGTCTGTGAACAAAGTAAGTAATATTTAAGCAGTCCCTACCCCTAAACACACAATATTTCTCAATATGATATGCACGATATATTGACATTAATCCCAAAGCGCTCAATATTATTGCACAATATTTTGCTTTACTCCATAATATTGTGTCTGGAAGCCATATTTTACCCAGAAACCACCATAGTGCGCAATCAGTCCTTGCCAGGCTTTCATGAAGTCAACATGCTGAACGAAAGTGAATTTTGTTGCGTTATAATAAGGTGACCGAAAGTTACTGATTATAAACGAGAAGTCTCGCAGAGAGAGAAAATGAGTCTAAGTACTCGTTTATTGGTTGGGAGAAGTTTATTCATAAATAGTCACTAAATAGTAAATGAACTGAAGATTACTTTATAGTCAGTATCTCGTATTACTCCCCTTTATCCAAAGATTATTATCATCTTTGCTTTTGAAAGCTCATAAGCTTGGAGACCACTATAATTTTCAATAAAGTACAGAAGACATTCTTACGCCCTTCATGATAATTGAGGACACGCGATCGACATAACTTGGAACGACTGCTAGAAACGCAGTGAGCGAATATTGCGCAATGTAAGCCCTAACCGGCACACGTTTTTCCAGTATGCGCAATATGTATATATTTTTTAAGATATTAAAAAGCTCACAATACATTGCACATCCCGGTCAATATGGCCCCTATAGACACACAATAATATTGCGCAAGCCAAAATGTTGCGCGGTATTATTGAGTGTCTAGGGGCTGCATAAGAACCATTTAGTTTGCAAAAGTCGTTTTGATAATTTTATTGTATACCATCAATCTTGGTCATTAACGTAACGCTGGCCTAGAATTTATCTGGCTAAACCAGCGTAGGGATTAAGAAGCGTTCAGATTTTAAGTTTCAATCACATCTCAGAACAAGCAGTGGATCAGAAAATAATGACGGTACAAAGGAATAAAAAAACTAGCGAAATATGAGTGGAAATGAATAATATATCAAATATGATCGCAATACTAATATGAAATAACTTCTTAATTTGATCTCAAATGAACATACGCATGTGCTTGGCCCTACATTTCTGAAGCCTGGATGAGAAAATTTTTCCACCGTAGAATTTTCTTCCCTAGTACGCTCTACTGTATAAGCATGCAAATTTTTCCAAAATATTGAGTGACATCTACGTGCAAAACAAATGACAATGTAAATTAACAAAATTCCAATATTCAAATAACAAGGTCATGATAATGCATAAGTAATATTCCAAAGTAGGGAATTTGGAATACTGAAACGGATACAACACTGAAACGGATACAACACTGAAACGGATACAACACCTAGTCGTCACGTATGTCGAGATCTCGAATAATTGACGTGCGAGATGGCAGTGGCTAATGAACTGTTCATACAGTGTCGCCACTAGGGGCATAAAGAAAAAATACTTAATACTCGAGAAGAGAAAATAAATCCCGTAGCACAAGATAGCCTACAGAAAAAGTTGTAATTTGTTTCTACAGCGAAAGTTATTGGCTTTAGGCTTATACTAGTACAGGAAGTGACCGCCCCGACGGCCTTGTGAGACGTATACATGGAAACTTTCTCAGTCCGATTACGGGGCATTAGTCTTGATGAAAAACAAACATAATTGTATAATCGAGTGAGCTATTTTATTCCAAAGACTTGTACAATAATCCTGGATAGTGATGTGGATCGCGAGACATGGTGTGCGTATAGTTGTCTTGTGAATGCGTTAATAATAACTTGTGCTTGCAAATTTCAGTTCGATTGCTTGCATGTTCGGGCACTTCCATTGCCTTGTAAATCTCCGATTCCTTCCTTACGAACAAAAAGTCTCCGACGTGTGCACACGTGGCATCCAAGTAGTAGTACCCTTTGTTGATCATGAATTGGATGAAGTTTTTGTCCTCGAACACACTTATGAGGATCTGCCTATGGATTATATCTTCTGGTGGAAAGCCTTGCTGTTCCATTTGCACCAGAGTGTAATTGCTTGTGCGGTTCAATTTCTCAATATCGACATGGAAATCCCCTGACCATCTGTGCTCGATCACCCACACGTCCACAGTAACATCTTCAAAAGGGAAAACTTTGAGCACCGCCTCTTCAGTCATCTCGATGTCCAAGCTGAAGAAGTCCACGTGGCTCACGTTGAGCGCCAGGAACAGGGATCGCGCAGGGACGCACTGGGCGGTGTCGTACTGCGTGACGGATTTGGCATCCGAGTATTTTAAATAATCGCTTCCCTCCTGTAAGAAAACAATTCAAAATTTTCCTGGGATTGCTTTTACTAATATGAAAGTAGGTGACAGGAGACGCGTTACTGAAACAGTTACTGTAAAACGCTGCGTATTTTTTTTTCTCCAAAGGACAGATAATTTGCTAAATGTTTCAAGTTTTTACTTTCGCAATCTGTAAACTTCAGGATTGAACGTTTACTTTTATATACACTTTTTTACATACAGCCATCAAAACTTTTACGCTGCGATTTCTGACATATTGGGCGCATGCCGGAGGCACGCTTTACCGAACTTTACCATCCTATTGGCATTCCTTCTCATTGGTAAACACGCTGTGGGCATATCAGCCTTTGAAGCAAAGTTAAAGCGCCGTATGTTCCAAGCCAACGCTTAAGCATGCTCAAGTTAAGCATAGTCATAATCTATCCAACTTAATCTCTTCTGAGGCCTAACCTACCCACGTTGCAAGATTTCTGATCACCGAGAGGCCTTAATTAAACATCACATTGGTTGCAGGAAGCTAGAGAGGCAGGATCGTTAACTACCCCGAAACAGTGCGGTCATGTTTGTGGATTGGGAAAAAGCGATGTACAAAGAATGAAAGCGAGCTTGGTGAAGAGCGAAATGGGTTAATATGTTGCGCAAGAATATATCGGTAGTGAATGAATTAATCGAAAATGTATTGAATGACAGAGATCGAAATAAAATGTATTTGGCTTTTCGATCTATATGAACTGCGTAAAACAGGGTCAACTAAAAAATGCTGTATTGGACGCTGGAAAACATTAGTATGGTTAGAAAATAATCGTTTGTATAGGTGCATAGGTAGTTAAGGGTATGGTTGAACAGGTGGGATTGGGAAGAACTAAGGTCATGCATGATCTTAGCTTGGGCACATCAGTGGCAGGATATACGTGGAAGTGACGCAAATGTGAGAGCGATTAAGCATGGAGTATTGAGGAAAGTGTGGAAGGGCGAGATAGTTCATAGCATTACGTATGGATAGGATGTGATAGAAGACAGTGATGGTAAAAGATTACATCAGCATACTCATATCCACCTACCGTCCGGATGTAAGTTGCAGCTCTTCCGAGCCAGTTGATATTAGGTCCGGGATTCGTGTTTTTGGTTAGCACGACAGTTTCGGGGTAGTCGTTTAGAGCCAGGCAGGTCGGACTCGTCCAGGCCTTACGGTTGGTTTTCAGCAATTGCTTGTAGTTGTCCATGTCAGGCTCTACCAAGAGTCCAGTCCAACCTTGCTCCCTCTCCAGACGCAGGGTGTTGGACATGTATACACCGTCCAGCGCTCCGGCTTCCACGAAGTAACCTTTCTTACCGGGAGGATACATGTCCCTCAGGTACGAGTCAACCCATACTTCTGTGTAATAAAGGACCCTGCCCATGACATCATGCAGATTGGGTGTGCGTTGTAGTCCCGTTCCTGGAGGGCGCAAATAATCACGCTTGATGATGGAAATCAATGCTGGATCGTCTGATTGAAGAGGCCCTTTCATTCGGTAAGTTATCTGGAAAGGTAAAGTTCGACTTCGAATTCATTATGATATTTTATTAATTTCATATCTCAAAAGTCAAAGTAGCGTGTAAGAAAAAGAATGAATAGCTCTATCAAATACATTGTTATTGAACAAATGTTCCAGCTCACTAATTTTTATTTGCAGTGTTCGTTTTCTTCTAGGCTTATGTGGTTGTTGAATCAGTGAAAATTACTGGCTTGAGCGTAAAAATTGTATTTATATTCTGCTTCCAAATCTTAGCCCGGAAAGTTTACATTACCTCGTCGGAAACAGCCGTATCAGCCTCATTGGGATGATTTTGGTGCTTTAGCGCCGCTTTTGAAGTAGCAAAGAGGATCTGAAAAATTCAATGCAAGATTAAATGCTCAGTATGAAACTAAAAAACATAACTCAGTACTCACTGCAGTGAGTGACAGAGAGCGCATTTTCTCGTCAACGAAAACTTGAGGTCACGGGCGGACAGACAAACAGACGGACATGGCGAGCACAATATTGTATTTTTTCCGTAAATGATAAAATGCGCTAAAAAGGACAATAATTGAACCTCAGAATAGAAATACACTTCAAACGAACAGGAATGTAATGGATATCTTATATTCTCATCAAGGTGTATTGAAAGAAAATACCAATAAAAAAATGCTTTCGATGCTTACTGAAATTATTTTTGGCTGTACACTAATCGAAAGACTAATAATTGACGGCACCGTGATGACGTCGGGGAAAAAAGTGAATACCTAAATTAGCATATCAATTTAAGCATAAGCAAAAACGTAATATATACATACTTCTCCCGCATATAAAAATTGGTTAATTGTGAATTTCGTTCGATAAACATAAAAAATATGGGCATTCTGAGCTTCCATTATCTAGTGGCTTTCGCTCATGATATTCATAGTTACATTATAATAATGATATTTGCGTCCCCAACCGTGAAAAAAATACAAAAATAACTTCTAGATTGATGTAGCTAGATTAACTGTTATTGAAAATAATCTGAATGTAGCAATCTTATAATCAATTATTTCGAACAACATGCACCCATGTATGTGAAAGTATAATCTCTTAAATTCTAAATCTAATTGATAAATTTATCTATGTCCTTATATATGAAGAAAAATAAAAGTGTGTATCTAATTAAGAAAAATGGTGTTATAATAATAATATAATTTCAGAAATTTTTTGATCGAAGCAACATGTTAAAAAAGTTATCGAAATTATCAACGAACTGAGCTCCGGTTCATTGAACTGACCATGGTTTACAATCTAGAATTCGTACTTTTCGATCCTAAACTTTCACAATGTCCGATCTTTTGTCCACTTTAACGTAATTCATATTACTTATCGTTTTAATTACCTTCTGCAACCAAAAACAAATGTGATTGTCGTATTTGAGTTTACGCTCACTCATAACACTAACAAAAATGAAATATAAACGGCATGCTAACCTTAATTAAAATCAACCTCAATCAAATCAGTACTATACATTTGACCGCAATTTTGTCGGTGGTGTGTGCTCACTCGCCTCGACTACAAACATGGCGCCGAAAATTGTGACGCATGCGAGCATTAGAAGAAATAGCTGTGCAGAACGAAGGATCGCTGGCATCGCGCTTCACTTATACCTCAGATTTTCAAAAATTATACTAGTAATATTGAATGAAATGAAATTTCTTGTGTGAAAGGAGTCTTCTGTTCATTCCCATCACTGTAAGAAACAAGAAAGAAAATCGTCAGTCAATTATACCAATCCAACTGTAACTATTCTATTGGAAACTCAGAGAGAAAACAAACGACCGATAATGTCGATTGAGTATGAAATGAATTGAAAGCTCGTTTGTCATTTATGCTTCATCAAATCCCAACAGCCAAAGGGATGTCCATTGCGCAAAGTTTAGAAGCTGAACAGGAATTTAAAAGCAAAGAAAACATCAGGTAAATTATCACTATATCTTCGATGAAACGTTTCAGAGACCAGTTCCATTATCAGTTAATAAACTTCATGGTTCATCAACTTTAAGCTTACTAATGATATGAATACTTAGCAAACTGAACCTCCGAATGTAAGTTTTAACACTTTCTGTCACTCGCACATTTGCAAAACGACCAATAAAAAATGTTTGCATCTTGAAGTCATAAGAAAATCCACACAAAACAATCAAATTAGAATGAACGAGAACACGACGCTGCGAAAGCACTGAAGAACATTCAGTGAATAATGATTTAACTTCTTTCATAATAACCGAAATTTTTGTTACCGAATTTTTAGCGCGTGGCTAGAGAAGTGTTCCGTTCTTGCGCGTGTAGAATACACGAGCCTTGGATACCGAGCAGGGATCGACCGAATAGCGCCCAAACTTTCCTCGTTGACATGAGGAAAAACCGACTGTATTGTTTTGTCTTGATAAGTTGATATGAGCATCTAATAACGTTGGCGCATTTTTGTCGAGCATTCATTCTATAAAAACATGAGTGATGGAGAAATTCTGGAATGTTTCCTTGCTTGGATGGAATAAAATGTCAAAACTACGCCTGAACAAGGATCAAAATCACATGTGTCTCAATAAAAATAGTCGTTTCTCTTTATTGATAGCTTGAATAACCGTAGTTGTGAATTCTCAGCAAACCACTTCCTTTCACCATATTGTACTCTGTTTAAAACTCTATACGCCCGAATGGGCGTAACCGCAATAGTGCCAAATAACGATATGATTTAATTTATACGTATCATCAGGAGGAAGAAGCATCGAAATATAGGTGAAAAAGTGGCCTTGATAGATTATAGACACTCGGTTGATACTTTTTCCAGCACAAAGAAATTTATTTGACGTTCTCTCTTCCTGAATGACGCTGAAAAAATGCTAATTTTGTTTAAGGTTGGATTTTTGATTATTTTACAGTCTGTGGACTGCAATAATACTAGAGATCCCCCTCCAGGAAAATTTTACCCAGAGTTCATCTAGGGAAGTGATTCCCAAAGTGGGCGATATCGCCCCCGAGGCGGTGGAAAGATCTGGGGGGCGGTGAGGAAGAAAGGGGCAGTAGTACTATAGGAGGGCGGCAGTCCGCGAAGTCGATGTCAGAAGTTCGTACGTTTATTAGACGATTTGTACACAACACGTACAGAACATGACTCCGTTTTGAATAAATATTCATGAGCTAAAAATCACCGTTTGGTAGTTATAGGAATTTATATTCAAAATTTCGTTCCAACCTGCTCAGTAGTTTGGAAGAAATTCTTTGATCACTACGAATTTCGGCCCGTATCGCCATATAACTCCCGAATGAAAGTGAAATTTAGAAATTTTTCACGAGCTAAACATCACCGTTAGATCATAATCAATACGTTTTTCAAGTTTTATCGAGCTGCGTTCATTAGTTTGGGATATATTCCTTGGTCACTAAATTGGAGATTGGCCGTGTAACCGGCTGCGAGAGCGGCCACGAGTCCGGCAGTAAATTTGTCCGAGACGTCTTGAATTTCTAGTGCTGAAACAATTAAAACTGTAAAAAAATATGTCTGTCGGGGAGAGGGGCGCTATATAGATTCACTAGGGAGCCAAAGTGAGCGTCAGCCTGAACAAGTTTGGGAATCACTGGTCTAGGGACACTAACCCAATGTTATGCTGCAAGCACCACCCATTGACGGCTAACAAACGCCGCCCAAAAGTGACTACGAGAAATGAACTGATCATACCAAGGATCAAACTCACGGCTGGTTCCTATCATCTGGGGTCGCTACCCCTGCGCTGCTGTGGCGAACGACGTAGCAAGTTGATCCATTATGCAACTCATCGGATTTCATTAAATTCGTTGACTTTTTTGGACATAGGGTCATTTTGTATTGAATCTAGAAATTTATTTTCATGATAAAAAAATACTATTAGTAGTTGTTGCACAGTAGTGTAGCAGATCGAATCGATCCAATGGCAATATAAGCCGAAACGTTTATGAAAATATAAGCCAAAAACGATTCAAAATGGAATTTAAGATCAATAAAATCAAAAAAGTTATAAATACTGACATTATTTACTAAAATTTATTATCCCAAAATTATAGGATAAATATTACTATACATATGTCGAAGCAGCTATTATACAGGGTGTCCCAAAAAAACGATACTCAACTTTGAATGGCTTTAACTCGAAAAGTAATAGAGTTAAAAAATGTTGGAAGGTCAGGATTTGTTTCCAATGTTTTTCTGCATCTCTCCACCAAAAAACAGACAGATCGATGTAGCCATAAGCGTTTGATAGAACTTTCAGTGGCATGTGCTAAAATCGTGCTTACGCAAAGTTTTAGTAAGATCATTTTGCATAATCATTACGATGTCTTGACATGTTTTCTTTTCGTTGTTTTATTTTTTGTATCTTTGGTGAGACAAAAAAAGAGGCAATCTTTGGTGAGAGACAATCATGGCAATCTTTGGTGAGAGACAATCATGGCAATCTTTGGTGAGAGACAATCATGGCAATCTTTGGTGAGAGACAATCATGGCAATCTTTGTTGAGAGACAATCATGGCAATCTTTGGTGAGACAATCTAGGCAATCTTTGGTGAGAGGGAATTTCAAAACCAAAGATTGCCTCTCACCAAAGATTGCCATGTTTTTGTCTCACCAAAGATACAAAAAATAAAACAGCGAAAAGAAAACATGTCAAGACAACGTAATGATTATGCAAAATGATCTTACTAAAACTTTGCGCAGCCAAGCACGATTTTAGCATATGCATGTCACTGAGAGTTCTATCAAACGCATATGGCTACATCGATCTGTATGATTTTTGGTGGAGAGATGGAGAAACAAATTCTGAGATAGGGAACAAATCCTGACCTTCCAAATTTTTTTAACTGTATCGTTTTTTTTGGGACACCCTCTTTACAATATCATGTAAATGCTATGGGAAATTTACGCTGTCTGATGCCACTGATATCGACTCAGTCAACTCGGACTGCAATTTAAGGTTACACGCGCAATACCACCTCACAGAACGCAATGAAGTCCTGGTGTTTCATTTGCTTCTCGGTGTCATCAGCGCTCAGTGGCGTCTCTGAAATTATCTAGATTGAGGATGAAAATTTTAGACAAGTCTCTCCAACTCTTACTTTAATATTAGTTATTTGAATCTTAGGACCTTATTCAACCTTGATTTTTTCTTCTAATTGTATGAAAGTATTTTTTCCAATAGACTTGTACTTAATTCCTGGATAGTGGTGCAGATCGCGTGCCGTTTCGTCAAAATATTGGGTTCCTTGACGTACAAGCAACAATTTGTGCTTGCAAATTTCAGTTCGATTGCTTTCATGTTCGGGCACTTCCATTGACTTGTAAATCTCTGATTCTTTACGTACGAACAAAAAGTCTCCGACTTGTGTACACGTGGCATCCAAGTAGTAGTACCCTTTGTTGATCATGAATTGGATGAAGTTTTTGTCCTCGAACACACTTATGAGGCTTTGCCTATGGATTATATCTTCTGGTGGAAAGCCTTGCTGTTCCATTTGCACAAGAGTGTAATTGCTTGTGCGGTTCAATTTCTCCATATCGACATAGAAATCCCCTGACCACCTGTGCTCGATCACCCACACGTCCACAGTAACATCTTCAAAAGGGAAAACTTTGAGTACCGCCTCTTCAGTCATCTCGATGTCCAAGCTGAAGAAGTCCACGTGGCTCACGTTGAGCGCCAGGAACAGGGATCGCGCAGGGACGCATTGGGCCGAGTCGTACTGCGTAATTGTTCTGAAATTTGAATAGCCCGAATAATCTCGTCCTCCCTGAAAGAAAAAAAACTAAGTCAGCATTTGTTCTGATTGTTCGAGAGATTGAGACCATAACTTATTCCGCTGTTCAGGAATAGAACAAACAAAAACACGAGACACTTCAAGCCAGAGTGTACGGGATTGAAACCCTTACTCTATGTAGTAATTGCTTCAACTATTAATAGGAATCGCATAGTGACACACTCCAGCTTGCTTGTGGCACGCGTGGTCTGCGGACTTCATTCAACTGATGGAATTTAATTGGAAGATAGTCTTTGAAATATGAAGTCCCATTAAAGTTGTAACATCTCCGTTACTTTTGTAATTTGTTTGTTGAACGATTGATATTTCACCCACGTTAGTTGCCGTCATTGATCGCTATTCCGTTACCACATCCAAATCCTAATATAAAATTGGGAATATAAAGTATAAATGGTAGGAAAAATTGTCTTGTTTCAATGCGGCGTTGGGAGTAATCAAATAAGATCACTTAGTTTTAGGCTCCATTTGGACTCGTAATTTAGTTAAAATTGAAACAGTGCAATCTGTAATTGAATAAAATAACTCTCACTTTCAGCTTTTCCAACGCAGCGTTAACTAAAGTGATTTAGATTTTTTAATCATTCATCTTAGAAATCATATACTATAGCTGCAGGTATCAGTATCAGTAAAACTTGAAGCTTGACGTGCTTCAGAAGCTCGCCTCACCGTCCGAATGTACGTAGTGGCTCTCCAAAGCCATTTTATCTGAGGCCCATTTTTGTAATCACGACAGTTTCGGGGTAGTCGTTTAGCGACAGGCAAGTTGGACTCGTCCAGGCCTTGCGGTTGGCCAGCAGCAATTGCTTGTAGTTGTCCATGTCAGGCTCCACCAAGAGTCCAGTCCAACCTTGCTCCATCTCCAGACGCAGGGTGTTCGACATGTACACACCGTCCAACGCTCCCGCTTCCACGAAATATCCTTTTTTACCGGGAGGATAAAAGTCCCTCAGATACGAGTCTATCCAAAGCTCGCTGAGCAATTTACCCTCATAGTCGCCCGAAAATAGGCGCTGTAATTCGTAGGGCCCTGTCCTTGGAGGCCGCAAATAGTCACGCTTGATAATGGATAACAAAGATGGATCGTCGGGTTGAAGTGGTCCTTTCATCCGGTATACTACCTGGAACAGAGCAGTGTAATCTCACAACTCTTTATTTTTGACGTATTCACCTCCAAAGCATGAGATGGAAGAATTTTAAACTTGTTAAATTAAACGTTTCTTAATTAACTCATGTTTTTAACACACAAAATATGAGCAGGGGAAATGAAAAAGTAAAATTCAGAATATACTACGATATTATGCCTCGTTGTTGAAAATTAACCTTACCTCGACAAGGTTCGCAGCGTGCTTTTCAATCGAATCATGTTTGAGCTCCAAAACTGCCTTCGGCATAATCAACTGGACCTGAAATTTTGAAGGTTGAAAACATCATAATACCATTGTTTTATATTTTAAACCCACATATCACTATTACCATACTGAAAAATGTTTCTTTACTTGGATAAACTTATTGAAATAGTTATAGATGAACATTAACTTTTCTCAACCTGCTCTAATAATTACACTGTACATTGCACAGTGTACAGGCCAGGGCAACATTCATACAGTATATAAGCAGCGAAAACGGAAAAGGAGGAAAATTCGATGGATAGCAATGGTCAACGGAGAAAATTGTTCTGAGATAATTTAGCGTGAGTAATTTTTGCTGCTGATTTCAAAGCTTGCTTTGTTTTTCCTCTGGTATGTACAGTTTTTTAAATATTCTCATTCTTTTGCGAAGTATATTTGATACTTATATATGTATAAATAATTACACAGGCCACAAGGAAAATTGTTCCGAGATCATTTTGCCTGGGTTGGAAAACCTTTTTGCTGCTGATTTCAAAATTGGCTAAACTATTTTTTTTTCTAGCACTAGTTTTTGAAATATTCGCACTTATGAGGCACATAAACATATATATAATAAAATAATAATGTATAATTTTAATTTCTGGAGCCGCTACTCGAAAGTATGGAGACACTAACAATGCATGTGTACAAAATTTGAATATTTTCAGGTCAACGTGGTTTTGTGGTGCATATAAAGGCCGGTCCACACGCTCAGTTTTACACAACGATTTGTCTGCGCAGATAATAACGTTGCGATAATCGTTGCAGATAAAACGTTGCGTGTGGACGGGAAAACTGCGCAGTTTTGAAACCGGCGGGAAAACTGCACAGTTGCAGCGAAATCTGAGCTCCAGAGCATAGATTTCGATTAACTGCGCAGAGGAGTCGGAACGTGTAGAGTGTAGACGGTAGCACCGTTTTCCGATTCAATTTGTGCTCAATTTCAATGATTCTGGCGACAATGGCGAAACTTCGGTAATGTCCTCGGGAATTTATTGCTCTATACGAATATTTTCCTTGCATTTGGTTAGTAAAATCCAAGAACTATAGTAACAGGGAAAAAAAGTTGGAGACATACAAGAGCTTAGTATACAAATTCGAATAAATCGATGAAAGCGCAGACAGGGAAACAGCTGTAAAAATTAATAATTTGCGAAGTTTTTACCGTAAATAATTGGGAAGAAATTAAAAAATCGATTTCATCTGGAGCTGGAGAAGATGATATCTCCAAGCCATCTCTCTGTTATTTTGATTCCTCGCATTTCCTAAATGCTCCAATCTTTTTTTTAACAAGGCACAATGCCAAAATTGACCAAATACTGCCCCCTACATAGTGAGATCGCGCCAAACTGAGCAAACTACACAGATAAGTCGGTGCCGTGTGGACGCGCTAAAAATTGCAACGATTTCATTCCAACTATTTAGAACTGCGCAGACAAATCGTTGTGTAAAACTGAGCGTGTGGACCGGCCTTAATGGCCGACTAAGCCCAGGTACTTCACTACTTTCTGAAATAAAAATCAAACAAATTTCAGTCATTGGTTCAAAGGACATCACCAAACGATGTCAATTTAATACGGTTCTTATTTCACAGGAACCTTATTTTATTCGAAGCGCAAAATTTGTTGCAAGACAGTTGAAGACACGTCTAAGTAAGACACGTCACGGCAACAGGCCATGGGCCTATTGTCTTCAACGCCGACACTTCTATTCTAAGTTTCAATTTTATCCCTGTTTAGGACAATCAGTGGGAATAAACAGACGCTGACGACCTGACGTCACTGGCGGCAGTACTTAAGCGTTTCTTGTGTTGACTAGGTGTTGAACCATGGTTGAATTAATACATTAATTCAACCATGGTGTTGAACGACACACGCTGCTCATTTCAATTGCGTAATCGTCCCATGAAAAGTGAAGTATGTGACTCGAAATCAATTACCAATTTTAAAGGCTGACCATTGTCATAAAGAAAAATTTCCTAGATTAATGTACAATGTGCAAAGCTTCATAAAGTAAGTTCGTTGGAATACCCGACTGGAATACCGAAGTTTCACCGTGCCTGGGCTGAGTCTTCACCACCGAGCCGTTGCGGGTAAAATTAGGCGTTGAAACAAGGATGCAGAGTGTATTCATAAGTAATTGCTTTGCTCATTTCCCGTGATTATGTGCTTATTACGTTGGAGCATCAGATTTGTTACCGGAGTGAGATCGAAGTGTCGCTGTGAATTGTGCAATTTTTGAAGAATTACAAATTATTAGAAGATAAAATTTCTAAAATTAACATCGAGCATGGCAATGTTAAAAGACAACAAATTCCAACTGCAATTTCGACGGAGTAATTGTTCTATTCTTTTTTAAAGCCGCTGTAGGCAGAATTTTATAGACCCTGAATAGTTTACCTTGTATCTTTTTGTTATAAAGTTGAAGACTTCCTAATTCTTACTATCATTTACCTCATTTCGAGATCTTTAAGCACTTCTACTCTGCCACGAGATTAAATCTGAAATACAATTGTTTCGTACTAAAATATTACGTTAACTCGTCAATTTCTTGTCCTCTGATACAAATTAGAAAACTGTCAGGTTGCTTTGGCCAGAGTGGCTATAAGTGGCACGATGATATACGGTTCTAGCGTCAAAACAGCGAACTAGTTAGCAAAGGAGCAATGACAACACAGGGGGAGAAATTCTGTAGTTATTATATTCTAGGAAATCTAGTTCAATACAATCGGGCAAGTCGGCGAAGCTAAGACACGATTTACACGGAATATAGTCCTATACTGCCACACAAAAATATGAAGCTCAGACAGAATTTACACAGGGGAATTTCCCGACATAGTATTTGTTTCAAAGTATCCTATCCCGACCTATCTACCCAGTTATTTCATTGCTACGACACCCTTCTCTACGGGAAATAAGACAGTTTCTAACTATGTTTCCCGAAGTACATCACCGAAGTTTGTGGAGACGATTGAGTCCACGGCGCAGCTGACGGCGAAGATTTCCAAGGCGAATGTGACTGCGAAGCTTAGCAATCGGAGTTCTTCGGTCCGCGTTCCCTGGTGTGCGTTTTATTTGGGTGGTGCGTTGTTCAATTAGTGCAGTACGCTTGGTTATTTCTGTAGATGCTGGCTTCCGGAATAAAACTATCTCGGCGGCAATTTGGTCGTCGCTCCTTTTATCCGATGATAAGTCGTGAGATCTCGGAGCTATTTCACTATTTCGAATCGCTATTTCTTCTATTCGCTATTTCTTCGTCTCGAACACCACAATCGATTCTCTAACATTCACTGTTCCGTGAATACGTGCTACAACGACGTGCGGACGGCAAGATCTTCCGCGCTCGACTGACTCCGCGCTCGACTGGCTCTGCCCTCGAGGCTGGCTCGACTAAACCCACTACAGCGGCTCTTCCTTTATATAGCTCCGCTCTACCGTGTAGACCCGCCCTCGTTTGAATTCTCTGGCGGTTGGCTTGAATCTTTAATACATATAGAGTTGCGACCCCTACTAATTCCTATACTAATCAACCCGCGCTAAATAGTTCGCTGAATTAAACTTACTAAAGTCGTATCGTGAAATGACAAGTCGTTATCAAATTATAAACTGGTTGTTATGCCCACATGTGTTCGGAAATGGAATGCAAGCGGGTCTCGCCTTGAATTGAATTACCACCAACTATTCATAAAGATATTATTATTAGTCATTCCATCCCTAGAAATGAAGGAATTAGCTACCACGTTTAAACTGCATCATGTTGAAATTGCTTATACAAATCAAATCCATGCATTAAAATTGACTCCTGTGGATTCATTAGGCTGTGTTTTGGTAATGTTGCAGGAGAATTTCGAGGACTGATAATTGCGGGAGGGGGGGGGGGCAGCCGTAGGCCACAAATCTTACTCTTAAATAAGCCCTGGAGCCAACGCTCAGCTTCATCATGCATTAACTTTACTCAGCCTCAGAGCTAGAATCCACAAAGTACGCTTGAACTCCGTAATCCAGACAAGCGAAACACTACTGAAAGATAATAGCGCCGTAGGTCTTCAGCCAATCCTTAAACAAGCTCGCTCATAAGCAGGCAGATCCTCATCCGGCTGTACATACTCCGGCCTAACCTCTTCTTGCCAAACCTATTCACGCTGTCCCGGCTCACAATCTTTTTGCAGCCAATGACTGGCTTTGCCAGCACACCTGGACCGCCTTTCTAACTTCCTGCAGCCAACGAGGTTAGGTTAGGTCCACTCGGGTTTATTTTGAGTGAAGAAATGTCGCAACTTGTGTAGGTTAGGCCTGAAGAGGTTAGGCTGGAAAAGGTTTGGCCAGAT